ACCCACACCCACACCCACACTCACCCACACCAACTTTTCCAAATACTATTAAAATACGATGTATTCATGAAAAATTCGTTTTTTAAAAAATAATCTCGCACTGAAAGAGTTAAAGGAAAATATCTCAAACCATTAATGATAAAGAGTACGAAACTGGAGATTAGAATTTTTTATTCATCAATCTCGCATTGATTTCTCCTATCCGTTCCACAGGCAAAAGTAGGAAGTCAATAGACATTGGAAAACTGTGGCAAACTTCTTTCCTGACTTACGGTGATAAATGTTCATCATTTTTTCGATCAAATCGACGAATATTTTCATCACTTCCTCCATTTCCTGAATCAGCTCTTTCGAAAACAACAATTGGTTGTTCAATTATAGTTGGTATTGGTATTGATTCAATTGTTCCTATTAATTCATTCATTGATGTTGGACGTTTTGTTGTTGATAATGATGGTATTTTTCTTGATGTATCAACATTATTTTTAATTCCATTAACACCAACAACTATTGTTGGTGTTCGTCGTCCATTTGATGTTATTTTTGGTTTTATAGATGGTTCAGAATTTCTTATTACCATTTTTTTTGGTAATGATTGAGTTTTTGATATTATTGGTCCAATACTTTTTGGACGTGGATTTGTTTATTGAAGTTCTACAAGTGATTTTCTTGTCATAGATAATGATGATGTATCTTCTTGTAATTGTTGTTGTTGTTGTTGTTGTTTAGAAAGTGTTTGTAATTGATGCATAAGATCAAGTCGTTTACGTTCGATGATTTCTTTTTCTTGTTTTAATTCAGCATTTTCATATTCTAATATTTCAATACGTTCTTTTAAACGATTAATTGTTGTTGACCAACGTGTTTTAGGTTGTTTTAAATCTTCTTGTAATATTAAAACCTATGGCAAACAAATAAAGATCAATAAAATGTTTAGTTCTTTTTCTTTACTTGTTTTTTTTTAATGTTTCAATTTCTTCTCGTTCACGTTTATCTCGATGATTACGTAATTGTTGTCGATATTGTTCAAATAAACGTTTTTCATGTTTTTATTCTTTTTATTTCTTCTTCTTTCATTTGATGAAATTTTTTCATTACTTTTTGTTTAGTTTTTTCAAATTCATCATGATCTTGTTTTAATTTTTTTATAGCCAAATTATGTTCATTACAAAGAAATTGTAATTTAGCATTTTCTTTTTCAAAAAGTTCTATTTGTTTTTCAAGTTCTTTAGCTTTTTCACGAACTAAACGACTATAATCTTGATTGGGTTCAGCCATATGTGATGGAGGTGGAGAAAGAGGAAGAGGAGCAGGCGCTAGTGTTGGTACAGTGTGTCATAAACCTGGAAATGTATTGAGCATTAAGGAATTAAGAGGTAAAGCAGTAACACGATCAGTCCAGGAATGATCATCACCAAAATCAGATGAATGTGCTGAATCTTTCTTTTGTTGATGTTGTACTTGTTTAGAAAAATCAGTTCTAAATGAACTAATTCCACTATCACTATTATACTCATCAGAAACAACAGGAATAACTTTAGCAACGCCAACATCATCCCATTTATAATCTTCTTGACTATATTTGGTATATTAACAATAATGAATATTAGAAAACTTCGAACACAAATTACTCCACAAAACAATGATGCTCGAAATGAACGTTTACGTTCAAAAGATCGTCAATTAATAATAATGCTTCTTATTCAAGTTCTTATTACAATTCTTTGTACATTACCATTTTCAGTTGTTAATATAACATCAATGATTTTTCAATATTTAATAACATTATTTGATTATGGTGATGCACTAAATACATTTTATAATAATATAGGTCGTTTAATAAATTATTTTAATCCAGTTGTTGGATTTTATATATACGAGGGCCGTTCAAAAAGTATCGGGACTGGTTTTATTATAAAACAATAAGAAGCACTGCTGTATTTCTATTAATGCCAGCGTGTAGTTCGTACAGTCCTCTATCTATAGACATCATAAGCTCCATTGAATTATACACACATACGAAAATATTGAAATGCATTTTAGACCACTATCTACACACTGACAGAAAATTACAACCTGCAACAAAGTTATAGATTTTGAGAGGCTAGTTGCTATCCAATATCTATGAACATAGGTTGGCAGTTTACAGTGACACTGCTCTATCATATACCATGACATATGAATGGACTCGTCCTCCTACAGATCAATAATTACCCATTACTGATAGTTCTAGGCATGATGGATACATCGTTCACATAATATTAGAGAATGTGATATTTTCGTGAGTTGACTATAATCATATATAATTGATTATATAAAATACTCTGCACTGTAAATTTGGAATGTTAACAGTGTCTCTTATTTGTCCAGATGTGATTCAACTATCTTTGATTATCGGCCTTCTAAAAGTTTTTAGCAGTTATGTTATTCACATTTATAACAATTATGGTATTCATGCATGAACTCTTAGCAATGTATGATAATCCGTCTTTACAAAAACGATTCCATTCGAAAGCTGTAGTGAATGATAGGTAATCGAGCATCATACATTGCCATTGTATATTCTTAAATATTAAATGAGGCATGGCTTCACAGAGCAATAAATGTTATCACTGAACGATGCTCAGAATTTTTGATCTTCTGTCAGTGTATAGACAGTGGTCTAAAATGCATTTCGATATTTTCGTATGTGTGTGCAATTCAATGAAACTTATGATGTCTATAGATAGAGGACTGTACGAACTACACACTGGCATTAGTAGAAATACAGCAGTGCTTCTTATTGTTTTATAATAAAACCAGTCTCGATACCTTTTGAACGCGCTACGTATATACATTATCAACTTAAGCATTTCGTAATGAAATGAAATGTATGATTATGGAAGCAATAAGATTTATTTTGACAAAATTAGGTTTGGAAAGATTTATACCATCGGAAAGACAAGGACAAGTTCGTAGAATTACACATGAAAAAGCAGTATCAACAATGGTAAAGTGAAAACAAAGTTCTTTGTTAATGCACCTTTAAAAAAATTACGGAAACTTCATATAAATAATTGTCCAATAAAAAGAAGTATGAAACCTCTCGTTGTTTTGTCGCCATTCCTTATTCAGTAGATGCTTATCGTTATGTTTTTTTTCCTCAATGCTTATTGTTTGTTGTATGATGTGCAAGAGAAGTTATGTTTATTAATCCTGCAAATTTAAAATTTTATTTAAAGAAACACAATATTTTTGTTCTTTCGAACTGATAAAAAATGTTTACTTTCTGATCTAACTATGATTTTCTGTCGTGTTGTAGCCGGTAAATAAAATTCGAAAAGTAAATATTCTTTTTTATTGTTCTAATCAATATAAGTTCTTATTTTTTTTCCTTTTACCTTCAAGAAATACATGAACAACTTGAAAAAACAATTCGAATGAGTTTACAAACAACACTCAATCAAGTTTATAAAGAAAAAGATCTTGTAATTGAATTATTTTTATTAAAATTCAAGACAAAAAAAAAATCTTTTTTTCAGGATACAAAAAATCGTTTTGCTAAATATTCAAATCAACTAAATGATGTTAAAACTCGTTTACAACGTGAAACTTATGGCAATACACATCCCGGATCACGTGAAAATTCCACATACAATATCGTTCAACAATAACAACAAGTGCATCATTATCTGCTTTATCTCATCATCATCATCATCATCATTAAATACCAATAAATTCATTGACATCTCAATTAGATGAAAACACAAATCGACAAGCAATTAATATTAGTGATAATTTACATAATCAATCAGATGATGAAAATTTAATGTGCTATATTAATCAAACGACCGAATCAACACAATTTTTATTTTTATTTATTTTTTCACTTTAAATGTTCGTGTTTGTTATTGTCTTCCTTTCTCCAATTGTTTTTTATTTATTCTATTTGATAATTAATTTCAATCTTTCTTTTCTTTTTGTTTTGGTTTTTAGGGATAATCTTTTTATGGAGAGAGAGAAAAAGAAAAAAGAAACGGTGATTTGTCTTTCGTTTATTTCACTTTTAAATACTTGTACATGTAAATATCAAATCAGAAAAATAAATAAATAAATTCAAAATTCATTTTTTTTGTTTTCCAAACTTTTCTTTTTCTTTATTTAATTAATATTTATTTATTAAGATTCTAACAAACATGATAAAATAAAAAAAAAAAAAACAAATATTAGCTTGCTGATTTGTTTTTTTTTTTTTGTTGACAATATGAAGATAAAAATAGATATATATATATATATTCCACGTGTCTGCTTGATTGCGGACGATTTTTCTTAATTGGAGGAAAAATATGTCCGCAAAGTAGAATCATGGGGTATAGACAAAAATGACCGCATTTTGAAAATTGTCCGCAAAGCAGAATCGAGGCAGAGAATGAAAATGTCCGCATTATAGAATCAAAAAAAAGTAGAAATAGTAAGAAAATTAGTAGAGACAAATCGATTCTATCGACGATAATCAGTAATGATTCGATTAGAACAGGAACACGCACAACAACGAACAACTCGTCCAAAAATGTTAACTTCAGTTAATAATGAAAATATTTTAGTACAAGCAAAAGAAGATTATTTAAATGGTCTACTAGATTTAGATGATTATCAAAAAAGACTACGTTCTCTTTGTTACCGATACATTCACATCTTGGATACATATGACAAAGATGACGAAGATTATGAACCAAAAAGCATAGTTGAATGTTGAATCATCTCGTACTACTTGTATCTTTCTCTTTCTTCACATAATAAATTTTTTCTTGATTCTATAATGCGGCCATTTTCATTCTCTGCCTCGATTCTGCTTTGCGGACAATTTTCAAAATACGGTCATTTTTGTCTATACCCCCTGATTCTACTTTGCGGACATTTTACCTTAATTGGTTAAAAAAAGTGTCCGCATTGTAGCTGTAGCCATATTTCATCAGTCGATCAGTACATTTTTGGTCATGTTTCATTTTAATAATATGTGAAAAAAAAACAATAATAAGAATTGTCAATTAAACTTTTATGTTTTTTATTTGATGTGGTTATAAACATTGATTTGTAAATATAAAGTCAAACATACTTTAGTAAAAATTTAATCTTCTAATACATATATGATGATATTTTGAATTATTCATTTAAGTAATAAAATACTTGAAGAAATGATTTGTCTTAATATCATGTTTCTTTTTTCCTTCGGAATTAAAATGAGATAATTTTGTTTGAAAAGAATATTTAATAAACTAAATTCTCATATCAATAAACGTGTTACATGAGAAAGTTGCTTCAGGCTAACTTTTTTTTGGCTATGATAAAATTTAACGCTGCATGGCACTTAAGGATTTCAAATTATGCTCAGTCTTTTGTCTAGCGGACATTTTTTGTCCAAAATGTTCGGAAGTAGGTTTTATAGAAAACTATGGTTTTGGAACCAATGCTCGCAGAAGTTGTTTTTTATTTTAACAGTCTATAATGATAGAACAACCAATTCTCTACAAAATGAGATATTCTCCAAATTTTCTATGACGTTCTTTGACCGAGTTATATCAATTTTAGTGAAGGGTAACAACCATTTTTCTTCTATTTTCTCTGGGAAAAAACGAAAAAATGGCTTTTGCTCTTCACTAAAATTGATATAACTCGGCCAAAGAACGTCGTAGAAAATTTGAAGATATCTCATTTTGTAGAAAATTGGTTGCTCTATCATTATAGACTGTTAAAATAAAAAACAACTTCTGCGAGCATTGGTTCCAAAACCATGGATTTTCTATAAAACTTATTTCCAAGAATTTTGAAGAAAAGTGTCCGCTAGACAAAAAGCTGAGCATAATTTGAAACCTGTAAGTAGCAGATAGTGTTAAAATCGGATGTATCGTTATCAAGTTAGATTTCTCATGTAACATGCCTATTGTAGTTAATGAAGACATCTCTTAGTTTGATTGCAAGTCACACAATCTACTCGGTCTAAATCATTTGTATTCATTAAGTTGAATACTCTAATCAATATCAATAGTTAACTAATTTTGACTTGAGGATCGATTACATATTGAAATAATCTGAGTGTGGAATATTCATCATATAGTTTATTTAAATATTTTTTTTTATCAAAATTTTTTCATTCTAATTTGTGAAAATTAATTATTAAGTTCATTTTATTTCTTCGAAAATATAAATCAAAATAAAGAAAATTGAAATGTTATGAAATAATTCAGTCTTTTATGTCTGATTAGTCTTTCCACGATATTTGTAGATACCTAATCTTCCACCAAAACACGATCCACCATTTTGATAACCATGTTTCTTGCATTTATTTCTACAATTATCTATACCAAAAAGATAATTGCCAATAATATCTTTATCATTTGATTGTTCAATGGGTGTAACATTAGTCCAAGTTTCTGCTGAACTATTATCTTCACAAATATAATCACCTTTAGTATTACAATGTCCATCATCAACATATTTTTCTAATACACAATAAATGATCTATATCGAGAAATTCGAGATTAATACATTTAATTCGTCCAGATTCACGTGATAATTCTCCATTTGTTATACCAATAAATAGAAAAGTCAAAATAAAAAGTAGAGAAATGATATTTGAAATTTAAAAAAAAAGATCTTTCGACATTCTGAGATATTTATATGCTCGATAAAAACCAACAAACACAATCCTATTCAAATAAAATAATCAGAAATATTAGTTTTTCATAATCTTTTTTCAATATTTGCATATTAAAAATCTGAATATTTCGGTGAAAAATCATCTTTGATTAACTTATGACTATATTGTTTCTCGTTAATTTATTGTATTAAAAATAAATCAAAATGTATATTACGATACACATGCACACACGTTCATCTAAACTTTTTTTGTTGACTACAATTTAATCAGTGTTTAAATTTTAAAAAAAGTTTTTATTTTTTCCTCCTTTTAATGCAATATTTTCATCACGAATCTTTTTATATTCCCCAATTGATGTTTCTAAATTAGTTGTCATATTTTTTTGTGATTCAACTTCAATTTAAAATAAACAAAAAATTATTTAATAAAAAAGAAAAAAAAAAGGTTAAAATCTAAATTTTTTTACATGATCTTCTAATTCTCGAATTTCTCGTATAATAACAGCAATATCTTCAACAATTCGATAAATAATATCACAATCCGAATGAAATGCAACTAACATTTAATATGAACGTCGAGTACATTCATTAGTTTTAGCATCCTATAATAAAATTTCTTTTCATGTTTTTTTTTTTATGATAAAATATATTTTACTTTAAATAATTGACTATCAGTAACATGAAATGTTCGATCAAGTTTTTCCGTAAATCGATTTAAATCTTTTTATAAAACACGTGTTTCAATAATTGTTTTATTTAATTCTTCTTTTTTGTTTATTTGTATTTTTAACAATTTCAAGTATTTGTTTAGTAAAAAATGTTCTTGAATGATCATTTTTTGATATTGTTGATTTATGTTTTTCATAATCATTTTATAAACGTATTAATTGTTCATCTTTATCTTTTATATCATTTAATAATAAATGTCCTTTTCATTTCATATCATTGATTTGTGTTAATTTATCAATAAATTTTGTTAAACGATCATTAACAGCTTGTAAAAGATTATCACGTTATTCAATAAGATTTGTATGAACATCAGACCATTGATTATTCAAGTGTTATTAATTTATTTTTTATTTTATCGATTGTATTCTTTAAAGAAAAAGAAACAATTGTAACATCATATTATAAGACAGAACTTTTGGATTGTCCTAATTATGAACGAATTAGAATTGGGCAAGCACAGACTTTGTACATAATGAAATATGTACGTGATCGTTGATATGCGACTAATATCGGTACCAAAATATAAACAAGGTGATTATTTTTTGAATAACTCGAAAAAGGTAAAAGATATCGACCTGCGATTTTCAGCGATGGAAAGAGGAGAACTTAGGCTATATTTTTACTATCAAACATAATTTTTAAAAACTTGTAGATACCAGCTTTTTTAAAGGTTTTCTGAAAGATCAGAACTTTGCTAAAAAGTTTCGGATAGAAATTTATCGGTTTTTTTTTCATAGATAGATAACTTCGAGGGTTTTCTACAACTTCAGATTGAAATAAAAAGTTATTTTTGCTTTCTAATCTGCTTGCAGACGGTTTTATAGGAATCTCAGATTTTAGTAAATTAATCTCTGATCACTGAAATATATCTGTAGAGAAGGTAATTCGCTATGAAACGGAAACTAAACGTCGCCACTCAATTTAAGATAACGAATTACCTCCTTTAGAGATATTTCAGTGATCAGAAGTCAACTTACTCGAATACGAGATCTCTAGAAAACTGTCTGCAAGCAGATTAGAAAGCAAAAATAACTTTGTATTTCAGTCTGAAGTTGTAGAGGACCCTCCGGATTATTTATCTATGAAAAAAAAAACGATAGATATATATCCAAAATTTTTTAGCAAAGTTCTGATTTTTCAGAAAGCCCTTCAAAAAGCTGGTATCTAAAAATTTTTAGAAATTGAATTTGCTAGTAAAAATATAGCCTAGGATCTTCTCTTTCCATCGCTGAAAACCACAAGTCGATATCATTTGCCGTTTTCGAGCTATTCAAAAAACAACTACCTGCCTTTTATTTTGGCATCGATGTTAGAAATCTAATCTTTCTTTTCGGATATAAATTTTCGAGTACGAGTTGTTATGCTTTTATTTTTCATTTAATTTTAAGGACGTTCGAGTTCA